AGATCCAGGTATTTGATCGCTAGTAGCAGTGCATACCATTGCTGAGGAGACTCAAGGTAAACATGTTGCTGCGTTTGCAAGCTTCAGAGTCAACTTCCTATTTTGTATTCACACTGTTTCTACTTATTTCCAAATAGTTATATTTAGAAGTTGTAGCAAACTCTATAGAGCTTATGACTTGTACTACCGGTTTTGGGAAATTATAAATTTTGTAGAGGTTTTTATTGCGAGACTGTTAAATTTTATTTATTATTATTGTTATTCAGTACAAGTTAGGCTTACCTAGTCCCTAAGACTAGTTGCCATCACGATACCCAAACGGAGGGAAAGTTGGGTCCTGACATGAGCGGGTTGTAAAAAATGCATGGTGCTTGTGAGTCAAATCTTGAGGTGATGATGTTACACCATTGTGCTTAGTCTATTTTAAATATTCTTGGTGTAATGAGAGAATGAACTTAAAAATTCCGTCCCTCAGCTATTTGTCCAGTCGCAGATGTCGCATTTGCGATCTAGAGTTAGCAACCTACAAATGCAAAGAACGACTCGCAAATGTGAAGTCCTTCCATCTCTGTTGTCATCGCAATTGCAATGAATAATTCACAATTGTGAACGATGGACCCTCCGCAAATGCAAAAAAGCTCTCCCCAGGTGCACTATGCAAATGCGAACGCTGGGTTTGCAAATGTGAACCCAGCTGACTTGGACAACTTTCGCAAATGCGAACTCTGACCTTGCAAATGCGTGATCTGAGGCCTGTGCAGAAAACCAACAACCTTAAGTTCCAACAACACTCCGCTAAGCATTCGAAACTCACACGAGCCCTTGGGGCTCCAAACCAAACTTTCACACAAGTCCAAAAATATCATACAAACTAGCTCGCACGATCAAAATATAAAAATAACATCTAAAACTACGAACTGAACTCTAAAACGCATGTTTTTCAAAGAGATTTTCAAGAACTTCTAGAATTTTAACTAAGCATCCGAATCCTACCAAATCAACTCCAAACGACGCTAAATTTTGCAAATAAGTTCTAAATGACATAGCGGACCTATTCCAAGTCCGAAAATCAAATTCGAAGCTCAATAGCTAAAAATCAACCTACGGTCAAACTTTTCAACTTAAAATTGCTAAATTTTGGCAAATCAACACATATCAACCTACAGACTTCCAAAATCAATTTCGGGTAGACGATCAAGTCCAAAATCACGATAAGAAGCTATCAGAGTCTTAAAAATAAAGTTCCAGGGTCGTTTTTACAAAAGTCAAAATTTGGTAATTATTTTCAAATTTAAACTTGCACATCTAGAATCAAGGGTCCAAATCAACCCGAAAGCTTTCTGGAACGAAACTAATCAACCCCGTAATTTATAAAGACATAAACACACAAGTGTGAAGCAATAAAAGTGGTAACATGGTGCAATTACATTGAACGACCAATCGGATCGTTACAGTGAGTCAGTAGAAGCGAAAAGGTTGGCAGTGTTTAAAATATTCGAGGGTTTGAGTCTTCTCTCACTTAGAGAATTTTGGGGTGCGGACTAAAGCGATTTTTGGAGAGGTTTTCACCTATATTGAAGAGGTAAGTGATTTTGATAACATTTTTCCATGAATATTGAATACCCATTGATTATTTCACTTATTTTTAATGAATCTAAGTTAGAATTTGGGGATTTTTGACCCATGTATTGGATAGTAAGATTTGGGGATTTGATTTGCCGTTAGAATTGGATGATTTTGGTATGGCTAGACTCGTTATTGGGTATTCAGATTTTGTGAATTTTGTCGGGTTCCGAGGCATGGACCCAAGGTTGACTTTTAGGGTTGATTTGTTTTAATTGGTAAAGGAATATAGTTTTATTGTTTAGAATCGATTCCTATAGCTTGTATTTATTATATTAAGTTGTTTGTGACTAGATTCGAGTCATTCAGAGACTGATTCACGAGGCAAGAGTTTGTTGGAGCATTGAGTTGCTCACTTTGAGGTAAGTAACACTTCTAAACTTGGTACTGAGGGTATGAATCTCTGGAATACATGTTATGTGGCTGGTGTTGGGATGACGCACATGCTAGGTGACGGTCATGTGGGCGTGCACCAGGGTAATTATAACTCGGTTGATTCTGTGGTACTGTGTAATTATCTAGTCTTGTTTCTATCCATGTAATTCCAACGTGTTAGACTAATTGAGTTGTGATCAATGCTAGAAATCATGTTTAGGCTATGTGCTTATTCTGTTGGGACCCACTAAGGTTATGCTTTTGAGTTATTTGCTTATGTTGTAATTATATACTCAGTCATATTTATTCATTTGCATATCATATCTCAGTCTCTATTATCATTTACTATTACATCATGTTGCCATTGTTCAGGCTGCGTGGTATGGGATTTGTAAGCCCATGAGATAAGAGAGGTTGATGACTAAGTTAGGGCCTGAGAGCCGGATTATGAGTGATATTTATGGGATTGGGTTGCACGCCGCAGCATGCCTTATCAGCTTATCTATTATTATGGATCGAGCTGCACGCCGCAGTAGGCATATTGGATTTATTTTAGTGCTCGGGAGGGATCCGCCCCTCCAGAGTCTGATATACCAACAACGAGCGCAGGTACCGTACAATGCTGAGTAATTGTGTGTGATGAGTGGGAGTAGAGAGAGACAGATTAAGTACTCTGAGAGTTAGAGTACCTAGAATTATCACTATGATGGATTACATTTGAGTTGCATATTTGACATGTAGTCATAGAGATGTAACATTCCTCATGCTAGCTGTACTTGGCATATTTTATCAGTGTTGAGCTTAAATTATTGAACGTGAAAGCATGCCTAAATTTTGGTACTGTGTACGAGCTGAATATGGAAGTTCTCTGAGTTATTACTGTCAATATCTTGATATATCTGTGTTATTATTATCCTGATTCAGACTGTATCTTTCTGAGCTTATCACTGCTTTCAGCCCAAGGTTAGTCATGTTACTTATTGAGTATATTAGGTTGGTTGTACGCAAATTATACTCTGCACTTCGTGTGCAGATCCAGAAATATCTGGACGTGGTGGTTTCTAGAGTGGTGATGGTACCTGTTCGGAGACTTTGAGGTAGCTGCTATGATGCCCGCAGACATTGACTCTACTTCCTTCCATTTTATTTTAATACTGTTCTATTTTTCAGACAGTTGTACTAGAATTTTATACTATGTTGAATGCACGATCCTTCAAGATCAAGAAGAAACAAAGATTTTTAGGAACAATTTTTTTTTTTTTGGATGAACTCATATATATGTTCTGTTCCTCTTAATTATATTGCATATTAAAATGTCTTATTAGAATGCTGGAAGTACTAGTATAAGATAATGGACTATTTATTTTTCATATTTGTGTTTTTTGTCTCCTGATCTAATTCTTCTTCTTTCCACGAGAAAAATACATTAAAGTAATTTTTTTCCGATTATAGATCTATGTCTACATTAATACCTTATAGAAGTGAATAAAACCCTTAGCTAAATTATATTTTGAATGTAATATTTATAAGATTATAAATTATGTCTAAATACAGAAATAATGAAACCTAACTCAACTCGGAGAAAACATATAGTATTGAAAAGTAAAACCATCATATATTAATAATAGAAATCATAGCAGAATACAACTTGTAGCATCATCAAAACAAACTAAAAAGTACAAAACAAAAATATCACGTCCTAATAATATTAATTTAAACTTAAGCATTAGGTGCATTAATTATGTGTATTTTCTGCATAAGCCTCTGAAGAAGACGAAAATGAAGCCTCATTTTTCAAATGTTTCAAACGATTATTCAGACTAAAAACAATTGTACTTCATCTGCATTAAACTGCTCAATTGACTCCCACTGGTATCTTTGGTCGTTTTCTTTCATGTTGTCAAGTAGAAGCGATTGAGCACTTGTAACTTCTTTTATGTTATCAAACAATTCCCTCCTATTGTTGAGTTGATCCACTTTGTTTCGTGCATGAGCCGTAACTAGGCGAGTGCTTTCACTTAATTGCGTGTTAGGATTTAAAAAACGATCAATATTCGCTTCTGATGTAGGATGAAAAAATAAAAAAGATTTACCGGTAGGAGAAAAGAGTACAATTCCAATATCAATATTGCATAGCTTAACAAGTTCGCTGGCCTGTTTATATAGACCCGAACGACGCTTTGAAAATGTCACATAGCGGTCGTCCTCATTTTCTATTTTTTTCATCGGAATACTTTGTCTCCCTCTAGTCTTCTTACCCTCCATGGCTAAAATTATAAGGAAGAAGTATAATATAAAAGCTTATTGATGAGTAGTTTTCTTTAAGAAATGATACTTATGAAAAATAGAATACCATGACTATTTATACACATCAAGACTTCATCATAATAAATTTCTAGCCAAATATTATAAATGAAAGTAATCAAAGAAATCTAAACTTTTAAAGTAAATATTTTATCATACTTACTAAAATTTACCAAGTTCTGATTAGAAAGTGTGGATATAAATACAAAAAACACAAAGTAAGTCCCAGAATCTTTAAATTCTCAAATAGGAAAATAATTTAATGCCTTTAGAAAGTCATCAACTTCTAGTAGTTCGAATTAACTCGGGTCAGATTTAAAATTTAACTTGAATAGGAATGTTTTAATAAATTAAAATAATGAAAATCAAACTTTCCAAATGCATTAACATCAACCTAATATGAAAATTTAAGTTTAATTGGAAAAAGTTTAATATTCTAACAGAAATAAGTACAAATGTAATTAGAAGATAAACCAAATTGAGAAAAAATATTAAATTTGCATTACTACAATAAAAATTTGAAATTAACTTTAACTAGGTAATTACTCACTAATTTTACCAAGTATTATTTTTGAAATGCAATATAACTAAAAGGGACACAAGTGCATACCAAAAATGTTTTCAAATAAACGAAAAACACTACGAATAGAATTATGCGATAATTGTACCTTGATCAACTAATCTCGGAGGGAATGGGTCTAGCAATGAGCAACTACTTGAACCAAATGTGGCTCAACAACTCCATCCTCTTGCTCCCTCATTGATGCCAAACCTAGTTCAAACAATGATCAACCAGTGGAACATGCCTCCACATTTCAACCCTCTTCAACCACATCAACTACTCCCAGATATCCCCTTCTTTCCCTCACAGATGCAAACTCATCTCAATCCAATCTTCATGCCATGGGATATCAATCCCCAGCCCCAGGAGCAACCTGTCAATCCGACAAATCTTCAGAACCCCCCAACCTCTCCATGCAGTACCAGAGCCGGGCCATGCAGAGGCAGTAATGGAAGAAGAACAAGAGGAACCTCTCAATCCAATCTTAGAGCGGGTCCTAGAATTCGAAAACTTAGACGAAGTAAAAGTGTATCTATTTAGGAAGATGCAGGAGAAGACACATGTTCTCAACTGTCCCCTAGAACTCTACAAGTGCTCAATGGACATAAGGCCACCCCAAGATCCTATAGTGGGGAATAGGGCCATGATCCTAGTACCTGCACTAAGGAGGAACCCTATATTTCCAGGGGGGTGAGAGAGAATGGGGAGGCCGTGAACCATCAACCAATCTATCCAATGAATCATCCAACTAACATTATTATATGAAATATAAGGGGGGGAACAATGACAACTTCCGTAGAAATTTTAGAGAAATGTTGGATACCCATCATCCATGCATGGTTGCTTTACTTGAAACTAGGTTGGTAAATCATGAGAAATGGCTAGATGATTTTGGATTCTCTGAACTCATAGAAGTTCCAGCTGAAGGGGAATCAGGAGGGATAGTTGTTATGTGGAAGCATGAGGTAGTTTCTATTCAAAATTTCACTCGTAGAAACCAAGAAATTCATGCCACCATTGAGGTACTCCCCACTCGTAGCTTTTGGTTATTTTCCTCTATTTGTGCTAATACTAATTATAAATGTGGGAATATTCTTCGGGATAATCTTGAAAACATTGCTAAGTTCTATAAAGGGCCTTGGTTAATAGGGGGGACTTCAATGACATTACTAGCTCAAATGAGAAATTTGGAGGGAGGCCTATAAACTCTAATAGGGCAGATTTCCTTCTGTCTAAGTTAGATAAGTGCAATGTCAAAGACCTAGGTTTTAAAGGTTGTAAGTATACTTGGTTGAATAACAGACATAAGAATAAAGGTTTGATCATGGAAAGGCTTGATAAGGCTCTAGGAAATGATTCATGGTGTGACCTATTCCCAAATCACTCAATTTTTCACTTACCAAAGACTCACTCTGATCACTCCCCTATCCTAGTTAAGTTGATCCCAAAAAAACGTGGTCACCATAACCAACCTTTTAGGCTGGAAACTTTCTGGTGCAAACATCCAGATTTTGTCAATGTCGTAAAAAAAAATGGACTAATTCGGATTATCTTGCGGCTAATAATTCCTTCATCCAAAATGTTAAAATCTAGAAACAAAAAACATTTGGTGATATTATGGGAAAAAAAATGAAAAATACTTGCATGACTTCAAGGTATACAAAATTCTAGAAATTACACAAGTAGCATCTTCCTTCAAAACCTAGAACAAAATCTTAAAAGGGATTATAATGACATTCTTAGGATTGAGGAGGATTATTGGAAACTTAGATCCAGAGTTAAGTGGCTTAATGACGGGGATGCGAATACAAAAATTTTTCACATCTCTGCCACAAATAGATGTAAAAGAAATAAAATTATATTTTTTAAGGATGAATCGAGTAACTGGATAAATGACCATGCCTCTTTATCCTCACATGCCCTTAACTACTTTACAAATATTTTCACCACCTCTCAAGTTCGCACCAATTGGAAAGAACCTAATAATATTCCCCTTGGTAATACACAACTTGATCTTACTTCGCTGGATGCTCCATTACTTGATATTGAGATAAAAAAGGCTATCTTTTCTTTTAATCCATTTAAAGCGCCGGGGCCGGATGGTCTCCATCACTTTTTGTACCAAAAATATTGGAAACTTATGGGTCACACAGTGACAAAAATCTGTCATGATATCTTCAATACTCAAAAATTACCTAGTGATATTAACAAAACCTTTCTTTGTTTAATTTCCAAAATTCTAAACGCTAATAACATTAAAAATTTTCGCCCGATCGGACTTTGTAATACGATCTATAAAGTCATTACTGTGATTTTGGCAAATCGTATTAAACCTTTCCTTGAAAAAATCATTAGCCCCTTTCAAGCTAGTTTAATGCAAAATAGGAGAGCATCAGATAATGCCCTAATCATCCAAGAACTAGTCTCCAACCTTAGGAAATTACAAAGGAAGGAAGGTCACATGTTGATTAAGATAGACTTAGAGAAAGCTTTTGATCGGATTGAATGGTCTTTTATCTATCGTGCCCTTAGATTCTTTAACTTTCGCCCAAAATTCACTAGACTTCTTATGAATTACATCACAACCAGCTCTATAGCAGTGTTAGTCAATGGCTCCAGCACACCCTTTTTTGAACCAAGTAGGGGTATACGTCAAGGCGATCCTTTATCTCCCTACATCTTCATTCTTAGCCTTGAACTGTTAACTAGATACATTGAGTATCAGGTTGACATCCGTAACTGGGATACTATCATAATTGGTAGGAAAATCCCTAGTTTCTCCCATTTATTTTTTGCGGATGATTTAACTTTTATGGCTAAAGCTAACACAAAATCCTGCCTAGCTATTAAATCAACTATTGAGTTGTTTTGCTCCCTTTCCGAGCAAAGTGTAAATCACTCGAATTCCAAAGTTCTTTTCTCCAAAAATTGTACGCCTGACATTACCAAAGGAATCACTAATATGTAGGACATAAAAAAGAGTGACCACTTTGAACACAATATTCATAATACAAAAATTCGTATGAAAGGTCCATCAGCTGATATTGCCATTTGGTCCCTTAATCAGAAGGGTATCTTCACTAGCAAAAGCTGTTATAAACTTATAGAGAATTATGAGGAAAGAGACCACACAAATTATGATTGGGTGTGGTCTCTACATTGTTCAAACAAAATTAAATTTCTATTATGGCAATGTATGCATAACAGACTCCCGTGTAGAAGTTACCTTTTCCATATTAGCATTAACATTGAGAAAATTTGCCCTATATGCAATAAAGGGGAAGTAGAAACCATAGAACACATCTTCCTCACATGCTCCATTAGTCAAGCTCTTTGGAAAGAAATAGGAGGACCTCCTCTTCACGACCCCTCTAAAGGGCATTGGCTAACCCAACTAAAAACACAAAAGATTGTCTTAAACCATAGTCTACTCGATTGGAATAGTCTACTCCCTTTTGCTATTTGAGACATATGGACTACTAGAAATTCCAGCAATCAAAATAATGTTAAGAATAGGATCAACCTCCACAATACCTTGCAAAGAGCTATTGAGTACAAATTAATGACTGCACTTAATCCCCTATCAACGGAAAAAATCCAACTCAGCTATAAATGACACCCTCCTTAACATTGTTATAAACTTAATGTGGATGCTAGTCACAACAACTTCAAAAGTTGCATATGAGGAGTTTTCCGAAATAACACTGGTCAGTGGATTGTAGGTTATACCAAAAGCATTAGAGCAATGGGGTCCCTAAATGCTGAAATAAAAGCGATTAAAGAAGGGTTAAAAATGGCCTGGAATGGAACCTTCTGCCACTACACATTGAATCAGATTGCGCAGAAGCCATTAAGGCCATTCTTTTTGGACAGAATTTTATTGACAAAAATGTTTCTACCTGCAGGTTGTTAATGCACCAAGGGAAGGAGATGACCCTCCAGCACATGTTTAGGGGGTGCAACAAAGTAGCCCACGAATTATCCAAGATGGAAGGAAGTGATGAAGTGAAGAAGAAAGTTTTTGTAAAAGCTCCTTTTGTAGTATCTAACTTTGTTACTTATGATCTGGACAAGGATCGCTCTTATATTAAGTACTTACCTATGGATGCTTGCAATACATTAGCAAGCCTAGGAAATCAAAGTGTCCTAAGTGACACTATTTTTGGCAATGTTGTAACAAATATTATTTAGTTTCCTTAATATATGCTTTCCTATTTGCTCAAAAAAAAAAAAAGATAACTGTACACATGAAAACTATAGAATTTACAATTGGAAGCAACTCGTGATATCAAAATACCCTTAGTCGTCAAAAGAACCTTCATGTGATGATCCAATAAGTCGTTTTGAATACTAGTTTCACGACTTGGAATACCAGCCTCAGGGTCATGATAGCGCCTAATATCCACTTGCTAGGCAAGTTGACGTGAAATAATTAATTAACCAATTTTAACAGTTAAAAATACAATAATGATATTCAACGAGAAATAAAAGCCAAGTCTAACACAGTACTCATATAAACCACGTGATAATACCTTTGTGATGACCCAAAATATCATCTTTAAATTTAATAATCATCTCGGTATTTTAAAACCTTATAAAGTGGTATCAATAATTCGTCGACTTGCCTGCGTAGTCCGTATAATTTTCCGGAAGGATTTTATGTGAAAAATGGATTAAGATGTGAACTAGAGCTTTAAAACTCAACTGAGTTGACTTCGATCAACATTTTGAGCAAACGAACCCGGATAGAAGTTTTGACCATTCCGATAGTTCCATATCGTGATTTGGGGCTTGGTCATATGCCCGAAATCGAATTCGGAGGTCCCTAGATTAAATTATCGCCATTTAACGGAATCTAGAAATCTAAGGCTAAAGATTTCTTAAGTTTGACCGGAGATTTGACTTTTAAGAAAAAGACACCGGAATGGAATTTTGATGATTCCAATAGTTTCATATGGTGATTTTGGACTTAGGCACATGTTCGGATTTGGATTTTGAAGTTTGTAGGATAATTCAGCGCATTTTGGCGAAAGTTGGAAAATAAAAGATTTTTGGAAAGTTTGACCGAGGGTTGACTTTTTTATATCGGGGTAAGAATCCAGTTCTGAAATTTTTCATAGCTTCATTATGTCATTTATGACTTGTATGCTAAATTTGAAGTCATTCGGACTTGATTTGATAGGTTTTTGCATCGAATATAGAAGTTGGACGTTCTTAGATTCATTAGGCTTGAATATGGGTGTGATGCACGGTTTTAGCATTTTATGATGTGATTTGAGGTTTCGACTAAGTTTGTATGATGTTTTAGGACTTGTTAGTGTATTTTGTTGAGGTCCAGAAGGCCTCGGGTGGATTTCGGAAGGTTAACGGATCAATTCGGACTTGTATTTATCAGCTGAAATTTTCTGGGCAGTTTTCTGCATTTTTTGCACGTGTAAACAGTGACCGCACCTGCGTGAACAATATCTGTGTACAGTATCCATGTATAGTCCCCAT